TATAGATATATATGTCGGGTGGTTATGACTTTTTCCAGGTGTGATATTCCAGTTCTTTTTTTTTTAAGTTGTGAATTCTGAAGTGGATGTGAAGGTTCTCCAAAGATTTCCTTTAAAATCCAGCGACTGGAAGAAGAAGCAACGCAGTCAAAATGCAACGATGACCGGATCAGAAGCGGAGAGTTCCTTCTCCGCACAGAAGTCCTAACGGCAAACTTAGCTCTGATGTCCAGAAACGAAAGCTTCAGAAAACTCAAACCAGGTGAAGACTTTCAGTCTGCTGCTGAGTCTCGTCCTGTCTCGTCCTTTTTATTTGATTTGTGACGTGGCTGAAACCAGAAGCACAAAGAAAAAGGGTCTGATGGGCCGCGGGCCACACTGAGCGCCTGGCGTGAGATGTGAGGGCAACCAGTCCAACAGACGACCACCGCAGCCACACCGAGGTCATGGCAAGAGCAGAGGGACAATCTTATCCAGGCTGAGGGGCGGGGCAGGGCAGGGCGGGGCGGGGCGGGGGAGCGGGAGGGGCGGGGGAGTCATGTGACCACAAAGTGTCCACACAGATTTGTGCAGAAGAAGGAACGCGATGAGAAAACGGCTTTGGCAGAAAACTCTTAAAGCTTTGCTGGGTGATGACTGGCTGATTGCCCCCCCTCTCCCATTTCCCGTCACCGACACAGAGCGGCTTCACTCCGCTCACGCACACGACAATATTTACATTGCACCGATCGCAGGGGCACAGATGTTCCGTCAGATTCAGCCGAGGAAACAAAAAACAAAGAGGAAACGTTTTGGAAGCCGCGATCTCATGGACACACCCACAGTGACGTCACAAACGCTCTGATGTTCTGGTCACCGAGGTGAAACGTCTCTGAGGCCGCGACTCGTTTAAAACGGCGACGACGTCTACGGGTGGAGCTGGGTCCCGCCACAGGCCCCGCCTCCCTCCAGGAACAAAACTGAGAAATGGCGAGTTACGACATCGTGGCGTTGACCTCTGCAGGCGGCGCTTTCCATTCGACTGACAGGTCATAGGGATATTTGTAGAAACGTACCTGATTGGTCAAACTACCTTTTAACACAACTATCCTGTAATTAGTCTCTAATCGGTTTGGTTCAGGCATTCGTACGCTCTCGACATTCGTACATATAGAATTGCATCCAGTGTGAATAATGAAGGTTTACGATGGTTTTAGAGAACAAGGTCTGATCAATGAAAAATAATAAAACAGAACGAGGGTCGTGGTGTTTTACTGTCTCTGATTTATTACACTGACTTTTTGCCGTTTTATGATTTTGACTGAAATTGCTTGTCAGGTTACGTTCTCAGTTTTGTCCCGTCTGAGGTGCGGACATGACTTCATGGGACCACTAGGAGGGGGCGGATCCTGAGGCGGGACACAGCTCCGACACTGGCCAGACAGAAAACAGCATTAATCCATTGATTCAAAGAAACCAGTTGTAGCAGCTTAAAGAAAACAAGGAAATCCAGAGGTTGGATAAATAATTATACACTCCCATTTAATGGTTGATACAGTTAGCTGTATTCATGTTGCATTTGCTGAAGTCTAATGGAGTCGGATAACTTTGAAATCACAGAGCGTGTAGTGTGTCACAACATTTAGATCAAGTGGTAAAAGGGGGCGGATGAGAAAAGATTGTTGAGATTCCAATTGAGCGGCCGACAGGAAGTAAACAAGTCACTGCAGATTTCTGAGCCCTAACATCAGGTGACCAAGACGACACACGTGGCATAAATATTTAGAGAGCTGTAAAAAGAGTCCACGGTAGATTCATCTCATTCATGTACTGCACTGTCACCAAACTCTCCAGCCTATACATATATATTCATATATCTCCAAAATATTAAAAAGTACTTAATATAAAAATACAGAAGAATTGTAAAAAATGAGCAAAACATTGAATTTTATATGAAAACCATGCAAGAAAGATTCCCCATTTAGTTAAATAGTAACTTTAAGATTCTGGAAAGCAAGGGAATGAAAGGGAAGTGGTCGGATGAGAGAAGCGCAGGCGAACTGCCACCCACTCGCTTTTCATGTAAACATTGTAGAGGTCCTTTAATCTTGGTTTCGGCAGTGACGACTGAAGATTTTCTCCTTGCTTTTTGGTCATGTTTGGAGTAAAGGGCCGGGAGGGGGGGGAGGGGGAGTCGGGGGTCAGAGGGGGTCGTGGGTGAGAAAGTCCAAAGGAAACCTCGAGAACAATGAGATAAAAAACAATACAGACAACCTATAAAATATGGCTCTGAGTTACATAGAAAAAGCTCGTCAGCGGGGAGAGGAAGAACCTAGTCGTGACAAAAAGTTGAAATATGGCAGTAGTAGCACGTCACTGCGATAACGGGTCGTACACCGGCCGATGGCCGCCGGTCGGACTAAGAGGGGATTAGACGCATTGCTGCTTCTGATTGGAGGATGATTCCTTCTTCTTTTAATCTGCAGACAACAACGGGCAGGAAGTACAGAGCGGCAGCAGGATCACACAGTGGATTAAACTCTACAGACTGAAATCATCAAGTCTTCCATAAACCTCAGCGTGGCCGCCACACTGACGTCTGTTAATCGAACCCAGCAGCAGCAGAAGGGTGGGGGTGATGATGAAGATGGTGATCAAACACCTCCTCTGCTGCGGCTGTGGGAGGTCACTGACAGCCAATTTAGTTTCTGTTAGTAAAATCTGAAAAACATGGGAAACATCGGATGCGGTGCTAAGATTCGTCTTTGACACAGACACACAGTCCAGAACATGTTCAGAGATACAAGAAGCTTGTGTCCGTCCAACAGGACGACCTGCACCGCGAAGCAAAACAGACTCAGTGATACTTTTCATGTCTTCACACACGTTTAGACTCAATCTGCTCTTCGAGGTGGACGACATGTGAGGTCAGTGGAGAGACGAAATAGGAAAGCGTGACCTTGCTCTGGGTGAAAACTGAAGATGAGAACTGTTCACAGGGTTGAACGTGTTTAAGCTTGAGTTGAAAATCTACATTTATCCCATTAACGTATATACAGAGGAAAGATATATCGAATAAATACAAGTTTGATCTTAAGATTTTGAGAACTGAGGGACAAGCGGGAAGACGAGGTGGGACGGGACCGCGCTTGGTGCCACAACGATAAATTAGTGAGCTGAATATTTTCTCGACTTTGACACCAAATTAAAATCTCTGCGTTGTTGCAATCTGAAGAAACCTACAAGGACGACACAGTGGGACAGCGGTCGGTGGTCCCCTCACAGTGTCAGTGATCACAGGAAGTCATTTCTGATTGGTTGCCAAGCTTCTGGAGGGTCGGTCTTATCGAATTAGAGTCTCTCACCATCGGTCTCCTTGAGAGGAGGAGCAGAGCAGACTGGGCTGCACCCGGCTTTCGCCCAATGTGGGCTGTGATGTGTTCTGGCACCTTCACCTGCACGGGTGAATCACTTTCCCCCGTGATCTGCAAAATTCTGGACCGCGTGGACTCAACACAGATTGTATTCGCCTACAAGTGAGCCGGCGTGTGGAGAACGTCCACGTACATGTAGACGCCCACCGTCCTGCTGTCGAGCACGAGGAGGCTTTAACTGCCACCTCGCTGAGTATTGATGAGTCTGTTCTCGAGCTGTTGTGGAAACAGGATGTTCAGTCAGACAGGAGTTCTCTGAACAGGTGCTGCTGCAGACTAACACACAGATGGTCGTCTAAACAGAATCCCGACTATTCATTCCAAGTTATCATGCGACTCAACACCAATGAAGCAGAACATGCATCGTACTAGAAGGGGAATGTGATCCACGCGGCTTGTGTCCTATCAGCGCTGTGGATGTACGAAAGGGGGAGGGGCAGAGAGAGAGAGAGAGAGAGAGAGAGAAGCAGGACCCTGACTGGATGAGATGAGGTCAGACGCCCTCTCAGCAGAAAGCGCCACGCTTCGATATTTTTGGGTAATAAACATTCTGTTTTTCCACATGCAACACAGCAGCGAAAAGAAAAAGAACCAACACATACAGACACGATAAAGGGAAGAACATTGTTTAAACAGCTGGACCTTGAAGACTGTAGTGTCACAGTCACAAGACATTCTCTGGAGTTGGAATCAACCATCGATTAACATTCTTCAGAGGTTTTTAAAAACAAACAAATGCTCAACATCTAAAAAAAATTTAAATCAAAAATAAAATAAAAAGGTTACATTTTTGCATTTTTGCCTAAAAATCTTCTGATCACCAAAACCCGGCTGTTAGCTGTGTAGAAGAGCGGAAGCGTATGTACATGAGAATCACTGCACTCGTTGAAAAGTTCGGTGCCATTTTCGAGAGCGTAAAAAGCGGGAATGAAGCGAGTACAGAACACGACATGCTGCTGCGAGTCCCGCAGATCGAACCCAACGTTGTTTAAAAGCTTTTCCAAAAGGATCATCAGGTAAAAAATATACATGGATGGACGACAGGACAAGCCTTCCGCTGCGGAGATTCCACCCTCCACTGATTGGCGTGTGTGGTGGGTGGGAGGGGTCGGGGGGTGGGAGGGGGCAGACTTACAGGCAGAATGACGCCACAGTCAGTATGAAAAACACAACGTGGCAGGAATTACTGACGGGGGGGGGGGGGGGACGAAGACGACGTGAAGCGTGTGTGCGTGCAGAATGAAGGAATGAGTGAAGTGATGACTTCCCTCCTCAGTGCGGCAGTTCAGTTGGTGGGATGACACGTGATGCTGATGAAGAGGAGGGAGGAGGAGGAGGAAGTGGGGAGAGGAGGAGGAGCTCAGACGGATGGGTCGCGGCTGTGGGGGAGGGCGCTGGGCGGCTCTCCTCCTCCCATCGCCCCAGAGGAGGCGCTGGGAAGGGACTCGATCTCGTCACCGGTCTCCTCGATGGGGGGGATGCGAGCCTCCTCCTCGGACAGGGGCACGAACTCGGGATGGGCCATGAAGCTGTGGATGGAGCTACGGGACTCTGGGCTCTCCAGCCGCAGGGAGCTACGGAACGCGTTCACCACCTTAATCTGAAACAAGGAAAGAGAGGAAAGGTCAGAGGTCGAGCCGAACGACACGCAGAGATCCCACATTGTTATGAACGGGCAGCAGGGGCTGATGGGACACATGGTGGTGGCTTTGTCGGAGTCCGGGCAGGGAAGTAGCAAAACCACAAAACACAACGTCAAACAGAAGTCGGCTGGATGAGAACATGGAGGTGAACTGAAAAATATTCACAGCACATCGACACAATAAGTAAAAAGAACTGAAAAACAAACTGCAACACAAAATCAGGCAGCTGAATGTGGAGTGGCATCAAAACACATGCACACACACAGACACACACATATAATCATATGAGTCGTACCATCTCTGATAATCCCTCTTAATTTCTTAAATTGCCAAATTTGAATATTTAAATCAACATTCAAACTATGTGTCAAAAGTATGTGGACACCTGAATATTACAAAATCTGCTGCGTTGTCTTCAGATGAAGTTTTATATTTTAATACTTTGGCTTTTCATCAAATAAAAACAATAATCCGAGGGAACAGAGTCAGATACACGTCTCAAGAACGTGACGAACACGGGGTCCAGACCGGTGTTGGCTCTCGAGGTTTTGTATCACCACAGGCCAAACAAACAGCCCAGTGCAAACAGACACTGCAGTGATGGACCAGAATCCTCTGTGGTTATATTTTTCTTGAGTGGTGCAATGACATTTTTTTTTGAATTGCTTTAAGTCAAATTGAATGTAAAAATAAAAAATATGAATATATAAAACACAACTGACATGCAGGGAAATTGTGACTCCTGGTAACGAGTAACTCAACCACAACATTGTCACTGAACATTTTCAAACGAAACCCAGTACACACACACACACACACACACACACACACACACACACACACACACACACACACACTCACTCTTGGGAAACGCAACAAACACAAGCACACTGTTAAGCATTTATAATCACATTCAGAGCCAGAAACGTTTTGTCCTCTGGCTGCTCTCTGCTCTCTCCTCTCTCTGCCTAAAGTCGCAGCCTCTGTGATGAATCCAGTGAGGCTGCAGCTGATCACACTGATTCATACACACCAGCACACACTCTTCATTATAATTAATAATCCTGCAGTTCAAAGCTCTCTATTACCGAACCACAGGAGAGCTGCAGGCTGAGCACTGCAGCTTAGAGCATACATGCAACCATCACACATGCACACGCACACACGCACGTTAAAAAGCTCTTGGCTCTTAAACCATGAGAGACTTGCTGAGCCTGACAGATTTAACCCTGCACAGGATTAACCCATAAAATTATCTTGGTGCCCAGGCTGTCGCCTCCAAGAAGAAAAGAAAAACAACAAAGAAAATAGATCAGAGGATTTTTTCCCTCACTGACACGAATCTGAAGGATTCAAATAATCTGCCTCTCATTGGCAACATGTGCCAACAGTTGTGATCTGTCACTGACTCGTCAAGCAGCAAGTCGCATCAGGGTCACAACATGCGGGAGGATGAGCAGCAGGCGGAGAGGAAGTGATGACGGGTATCGAACACACAGAGGGATTAGGATGGAGAGACCGTCACAGAAGGTGAGGAGGAAGTAGAAAGAAGATGGAATCAGAGTAAGAGATGGAAACAGGTTGTCTGCACGTTCATGACCTCCAGGGTTTCTATGGTAACGGATTACCAAAGAAACTTGGTAGAAAGTTGTTTAAGGAGAGAAGCCGTTATATTTTGGTGGTTTTTCACTTTCTTTAGTATAGAGACAAAGTTTTTGACATTTAATGAATTAATTGATTTTGGTGAAGAGTCATATTAAGAGGACAGATATCTCTACGTATTTGAAATGTGGTGCAGCTTGACTGAATCTAAGGGGACCGTCCTTTGTTGAGCCTTTTGGTACAGATGCGTTTTTATCTTTTAGATTTCTACTATAAGAAGAAAACAATCACGAGTAGCACTGCTCACTCCTCTGTTTCCTGCTGCTTCAGCTTCACATTAAAAGCTTTCACAGGTTTTATTGTGAAGCCGCTGCAGTGGACACTGACATTTCCCTTTTTTTCCAGCAGCATATTTGGATTCAACTGTAACAGCAATGCTGGAATGACTGCAGCTGCACTGCTCAGTGAGAAGATTCTGTCATTGAAGAGAGTTTAAAGCAGTGACGTCTTGAGCATCTTTGTAATGATGAAATGATTTCAGCACCTCTACAGATCACACAGTGTCAGTCACTGCAGCACTAGAGGTGACCGACCTACACCTCATCATCAGTTCCAACTTAATGTCCATTACTGTCATGTTCTTTCTAAATCACTGAGTTTTGTATAATAATCGTTGTTTAGTTCGGGACGTGCAGACACCTGGTGATGAGACGTGGGATGGATTCAGATCATGCAGTTCACACAGATTAAGGAGAAACAGAGTCCAGCCGGGTGAAGCGAGATGTTAGCTGGCCTCCGGGCACCGACTCACTGCCTGCAGCGGAGGAGGAAGCAGCAGGGGGTGGAGCCCCGGCCGAGTTGGTGAGTGAGGAGGAGGAGCTAAGCCCTACGTGGGTGGGGCTAGAGAGAGTTTTGGCAGCAGTCGCATCATTGTGCTGGCTGACGACGGACGGCTGGCGGCGCAGGGCACCTGGCACCGCCGCCTGGCCCGTCTGGAAGGTATAGACCACATCCATCTGAAGGAAGGACAGCCACAGCACACAGTTAGACAGCAGAGACAGAGAGAGAGAAAAGACAGGACACGAGAAGGAAGGAGAGACTTTTAATGTCTCAAGTGAAACAAGCAGCAGACAGACAGAAGGTGTAGTCCAGGTGCTGGGATGTTCCTCAGCAGAGTGATTGGGATTCAATTTCTGTTTTCCAGGAGAATTGACGCGTGTTAATAGAAAGAGAGCAGGAGCATGACCCAGAGAGTTAATGTACAGCGATCCGTGATGACACAATATTAGCATAGAAAGACAATGTATGTGGATAATGTTTCCCTTTGTATTTGAAGTTTTGTCAGTTGTTTCTTCACAGGTCACAAAAAAATCTCAGTTCACCCAAATCTCTTTCTCCGAGGCTGGATAATAAACCTCAGCATGTGTTTGTTGAACGTGTCTTTGCTCGATTAAACGTCGTCTCTGAGCGCTTCGCTGCCAAAGGTCAGAGTCTCAGACAGACCTCATCTCCATCTGGTTCAAACCTGTGATCTGCCGTTATCTCTCCTCTCCACGAGTTGTAATTGGATCTTAATACATAAATTAATTAGGCACAGAAGTGCTCGGGTCAAATGCTGCTATTCTCGAGGAATCACCACGACTTCAATCAGGGTCATTTAACAGAGGGTCACATGCTAATGTTAAGAAGAAAGAACCAACAGTGGAAAAGATTTCTAGAACTACTGCTGGTCTGGGTTCGAAACATTTCCATAAGGACTTTTATTACTTTCTTACATAAACTTGCTTTTGATATCACTGGGGTACTTATACTTACTTGTCGTTTTTGATAAAATACACAAACATTTGGTTTATTTTCTGAAAAAGAAATAAGGGTCTTGTGAGGGTTCTATATTCAGTAAGTCAGACGGCTTCATCAGACTTTGATTGTGGCATAAAGCAGAAAAACAAAACAAAGACAGAGATTCTTACTTCTTTCAAGGTACCAGTGCAATGTTTTTCCATATTCTAACCCATTTACTGAAAAATACAATTACATTTTCTTCAATCCAATCTTCCATTTGGAAAACAGTGGTGATCTGTTCTGCAGCTGAAAGAAAATATCGAGCTGACAAAGAAGATGGAGAGACAAAATAACGTGAGACAGAAACCAAACCAGGAAGAGAATGATGGAGGGATAAGGATAAAGGTTTAAACAGTGAGGAAGAAGAGGAGGAAAGTTTGAGAGAAAAACGCAGTAAGAGAGAAAAAGCTGTCAATTACTTAGTGAAAGACTAAACGTGAAAATCCAGAGGAAGCTCTGATAGGACGGAGGGATGGAAAGAAGAAACAGAACAAGGAATGAAAGCTTCATGAATGAGGCTGAAAAGAGTGGAGTCTGGAGAAAGAGGAGAAACTGTGTCACTTGGAACGACTGATAAAGTTTCAGCAGTGAGTGCCGCTTGTACCAATTATTCCCCCACTGTGTTTGACTGTCGAGGCGTTGAGCGGCACAACGCTGCCCACTAGGATTAGAGAGGAGGAGGACAGGAAGAGGAGCATGGAGAGATAAGAACCTAATTAGCTTGCAGCCTTTCGTTGCCTCCCCCTCCATCTCCTCATCCTCTCATCCCAATAGGACGACAGACTCATATAACAGATACATGAAGAGAAAACAGAAAGAGCTCTCACAGGTCCTCCTGATGAAAATCATTAGCATTAGCATTCCAGTGGAGAAAACATTCCGCCACAGATTCCTGTTTTTAGCTGTCGCTGAGCGTCGTGGTTGGTGGTTTGTCAAATCTGCTGTTATCAGTGGTGTAGTGCCTCATGTACGCAGGTGAACGGCATCTTCCCAATTATTTTTCAATCAGCATAGTGTATCTCCTGACGCACCTAAATCCGGCCTCTAATAAAATTCATACATGAAGAGAACGACCCAAACCAATTATTATTTCAGCAGAAACAACCTCATGCTGTTACATTGGTGCTGCTAGCCAACAGCTCTACCCTTAACGTGCAGTGAAGGTATTTATATAGTAATATGTGTAAACTACAATATTTATCCAGTAAGATTTGCAAACTGCCCTTTAACGAACAATGTTGATTTTAGAAAGGAAACCACTGAAACATTAAAATGTGTGAAACAACTGAAACAGCAGAGGTCAAACTGAAAAAACTCAGGAGGACGCAGCAGAATATATTTCTTATTATTAATTCAGATGTGTTAAGCTTCCGGCCACAATAAGCAGAAGTTAGAGCAGCTCCGAGAGGAAGACACCTGACCTCTGTGTGTGTGTGTGTGTGTGTGTGTGTGTGTGTGTGTGTGTGTGTG